GCTTGATGGAGTGTATTAAAGAATGTACTACACAAATGGCATGCTTATAAAGGAATGTCGAAGTGTTGTTCCAGACACTTAGCCTTCAGTTTAATATTGAGAGAATCATGGATTCATGAATCTCCATATTTTTAGGGAATTATTGGTTGTTATACGTAAAATGTGCTTCAGGAAGCCATCACTGAACCTCCACCCTCCAGTCTGGCTTAGATACCCCTCCTATGTCCTTTCATAGCACTCTGGGATTAGATCTGCAATAGCAGTTACCACGCTTCATATAATTTATTTATTTTTGTCTATTTCTCCCACTAGGCTATGAGAGAAACAAGGGAAGAATTCTGTTATTTTTGTATTTTCAAAATTCAGCATCTTTTCTAGCAGAAAGTAAATACAGATTAAACTGAACCAAATTTGGCGTACTAAAAGAACAATATTATAATTACTTTATGAAATAAAAGAGAAAGAGTTTTCCAATCCAGAGTAGACAAAGATAATGGAAACAAGTGTCATGTGCCAGTAGGACCAAAGTATGGATGCCTCTTTTATTCTCATAAGGAAAAGCTAAGATGTGTATCAAGTTCTTGTACTAATAGGCTTACATATGTTGTCTCCTTACATATTCACAAAAATCTTCAAAAGTAGTTTTTATTACTTCTGATTATCATGTATGTAAATTAATGCTTAGATAAACTGGTTAATTAATTTGTCTGCCCATAGTTATTCAGATAGTATGTGATAGAGGCAAATTTCAAGCTCAGGTTTTTCTGGCTCTGCAACCTTGCTTTTTATGATTACTCTTAAAACTTTGCTGTTTTATTAAGTTCATTTATTATTCTCTATCCAAGAGTAAAATTCCAGAGAAAAGAAGTTTGTTCAAAATTTTTAAGCCTGTTTCTTGTAATGTTGAATCTCCAGTGCTTAAACAGCCCACACACAGTAAATGCCGAAAAAATATTGTTGAATCAGTAACAAATGAGGGACTAAGGTTTGGATTTACTTTTAACCAATAGTTTCATTTACTCCTAGTAATGTTTATCCCTGTACAAATTTCGTATACATAGATTGTCTCTAATAATAGATTTTCAAGTCCCATCCTATAAATTTTACCTTTGCTTTTTATATCTTATGAGTCCTAGACTCTGTTGATAAATGGAGGAGTTACTGAACTGAAACAGTGCTTTCTTGAAAATAGATATGTTACTTTACTGTAAGAAACGTTAAAGAAATCCTAACTCATGAGTGTGAACCACACTGTCTGAAATCCATGTTACTATAGGTTGCCCATAGAATTAGACATTTGCCTACAAAAAGACTCAAGAGTCAGAACTGTATCAAAACTGCCTGGCTGACCTCTTCCGTGCAAACATTAGTGGCTAATTCCCACCTACCTCTTCCACTAGGTGTTTATCTCATATATTGCTCTGTTCCAGCTTTGTGACTCCCTTCTCCCACTTGTTATAAAGGACTCAGGCACTTTTTATCCCAGAAAAGAAGCCCACCAAAAGCTGGATAAGATATCAGGCTCTGGTCTTGTAGACTGGAACTCAAAGCCATTACTTTTCTTTGAGAGAAAACTGGATTATGAGCTCCTTGTGAGAAGCGTCATAGTCTTATTTATCATTTCCAAAGAAACTTCTGTATCCCAAGTGGTACACAGAAGCCAGGATTTATTATGAATCATGAGATCCTAAATTTTAATAGAAGCAGAAAGTTGAAGCTCCACATAAGAGGCGACATATGAAATTATTGGTTGTGGCAGGACCACAAGAACACAAATTTAAATTTTGACTACATTCTCAGCTTCACAAAATGCAAATTGAGAACTGGAGGACAAGCTAAGCTATTAAACACTATTCATGTATAACTTGCTTATGTCAATATTGGCTCAGGAATTATATGGGGTATTCTTACAGTTATGGTCAATTAGTAAGCTGAACTGTGGGGAGCTGGATAAGTTAGAATAATGAGAGAAAAGATGGGCACTGACTAAGCTTCTATGCTCTAAAGTAAACCTAAGAATGCTCACAGGTATAAGGGTTTTTATCTTTGTATATTGACTCTTCGAGAAGCAAGGTCCAAGACATATTTTAATGTTCATGACAAGAACATTATATCCTCTTTTAATTCCTTGAGCAGTGGTTTGTAGTTCAACTTTAAGAGGTCCTTCACATTTCTTGTTAGCTGTATTCTGAGGTATTTTATTTCCTTGTAGCGATTGTAAATGGGAGTTCACTCATGATTTGGCTCTCTGCTTGCCTATTGTTGGTGTAAAGGAATGCTTGTGATTTCTGAACTTTGATTTTGTATCCTGAGACTTTTCTAAAGGCGATGATCAGTAAGTTTTGGGGCTGAGATGATTGGGTTGTCTTAATATAAAATCGTGTCACCTGCAAACAAAGACAACTTGAGTTCCTGTCTTCCTATTGAATATCCATTATTTATTTCTCTTGCCTGATTGCCCTGACTAGAACTTCCAATATTATGTTGAATAGGAGTGCTGAGAGACAGCATCCTTGTCTTGTGCTGGTTTTCAAATGTAATGCTTTCAGCTTTTGCCCATTCAATATGATATTGACTGTGCATTTGTCATAAATAGCTCTTATTATTTTGAGATATGTTCCATAAATACATAGTTTACTGAGAGTTTTTAACATGAAGGTATGTTGAATTTTATCAAGGGCCTTTTCTGTACCTATTGAGATAATCATTTTGTCATTGGTTCTGTTTATGTGATGGATTCCATTTATTGATTTGCATATGTTGAACCAGGTTTGCATCCCTGGGATGAAGCTGACGATCATGGTGGATAAGTTTTTTGATGAGCTGCTGGTTTCACCTTGCAAGTATTACATTGAGGATATTTCCATTGATGTACATCTGGAATATTGGCCTGAAGTTTTCTTTTTTTGTTGTGTCTGGGAAAACTGGCTAGCTGTGTGCAGAAAACTGAAATTGGACCTATTTCTTACACCTTATACAAATATTAACTCAAGATGGATTAAAGACTAAAATGTAAAACGCAAAACCATAAAAAGCCTAGAAGAAAACCTAGGCAATACCATTCAGGACATAGGCATGGACAAAAACTTCATGACTAAAATACCAAAAGCAACTGCAATAAAAGCCAAGAATGACAAATGGGATCTAATTAAACTAAAGAGCTTCTACAAAGCAAAATAAACTATCATCTGAGTGAACAGGCAACCTACAGAATGAGAGAAAATTTTTGCAATCTATCTGTCTGACAAATCTCCAATATCCAGACTCTAAAAGAAACTTAAACAAATTTACAAAACAAAACAAAACAACGCCATCAAAAATTGGGTGAAGGATATGAACAGACACTTCTCAAAAGAAGACATTTATGTGGCCAAAAATACATATGAAAGAAAGCTCATCATCACTGGTCATTAGAGAAATGCAAATCAAAACTACAATAAGATACCATCTCATGCCAGTCAGAAGGGCGATTATTAAAAAGTCAGTAAACAACAGATGCTACCTAGGCTATAGAGAAATAGGAATGCTTTTATAGCATTGGTGGGAGTGTAAATTAGTTCAACCATTGCAGAGGACAGTGTGGCGATTCCTTAAGGTATGAACACAGGGATGGAGGAACATCACACACTGGGGCCTATCAGGGGGTGGGGGGCAAGGGTAGGTAGAGCATTAGGACAAATACCTAATGCATGTGGGGCTTAAAACTGAGATGAAGGGTTGATAGGTCCATAAACCACCATGGCAAATTTATACCTATGTAGCAAACCTCACATTCTGCACATGTATCCTGGAAGTTAAAGTAAAATTAAAAACAAGTAAGTAAATAAAATTTAAAAGAAAAACTATTGAAACTGATAAATTCAGTAAAGCTTCAGGGTACAAAATTAACCTACAGATGTCAGTAGCATTTCTAGATGCCAAGAGAAAACACTCTGAAAAAGAAATCTAAAAAGTAATTTCATTTATCATACTTGCAAATCAAATTAATCACAGATTGCAGTATTATTATGTCCATACTACCTAAAGCAATCTACAGATTTAATGCAATCCCTATCAAAATGCCAAGGACTTTCTTCACAGAAATAAAAACAATGCTAAAATTTATATGGAACCACAAAAAACCCAGAGTAATCATGTCTATTCTAAGAAAAAAGAACAAAACTGGAGGAATCACATTGCCTGACTTCAAATAATATTACAGAGATATATTAAACAAAAATCTTGCTACTGGCATAAAAACAGAAACATAGACCTATGGAACAGAATGCAGAATCCAGAGACAAATGCACATACTTATAGTAAACTCATTTTTTACAAAAGTGCCTAGAACATACACTGGGGAGATAGTCTCTGCAACAAATGGTGCTGGGAAAACTGGATAAGCATATGCAGAAGAGTGAAACTAGACCCCTATATCCCACCATATACAAAAATTAAAAAAAAAACTGAGAACTTAAATTTAATACCTCAAACTATGGACTAGTATAAGGAAATTTTGGGCAAAACCTTCAAGACATTGGTCTGGGCAAAAATTTCTTGAACAATATACCACAAGCACAGGCAACCAAAGCAAAAATGGACAAATGGATTCACATCAAGTTAAAAAACTTTTGCACGGCATAGGAAACTATCAGCAAAGTTAGAAGACAACCTACAAAATGGGGAAAATATTTACAAACTACCTATCTGACAAGAGATTAACAACCAGAATATATAAGGAGCTCAAATATCTTTATACAAAAAATCTAATAAAGCAATTAAAAATGGGCAAAATATTTGAATAGACATATTTTTGTCTATTCCAATAAATATTAAGCAAACACATACAGTGAACTCACAAATGGTGAAACACATCTATACTGAACAAACAAATACTTGTTTGCCCTCTGTTTTAATAGAAAAACAGATGCCAAACATGTGAATAGGTACTCAACATCATTGATCACCAGAGAAAAGCACATCAAAGCTACAATGAGGGGAAGTCCACTGTGTCAGTGCAGATACTGAGCCCAGGGCCTGGTGGCTAGACTGGTTCTCTCCTTTCCAATCGGAGGCCGATGCTGCAAACCTGCTCTGCCAGATCATCGTTCAGGCCAAGAAGCATCTGAGCTTGATCCCTCTTTTTCTATTTATTCGAGCTGGAGGTATTGGTGCAGCCCTGTATCTCTTACATCTGGCATTGTTCAATCCAGATGTTTGTTGGGACAGAAAAAATAACCCAGAGCCCTGGAACAAACTGTGCCCCAATGATAAATACAAGTTCTACTCAGTGAATGTAGATTACAACAAACTGAAGAAAGAACGTCTGGATTTCTAAATGAAATATTTCACTATAAAGCTGCTTTAAAATGAAGGTCTTCCAGAAGTCATCCACACAATTTTCCACTTAACTAGGAAATATTTCTCCTCTAAATGCATGAAATCATGTTGAAGTAATCTATTTGAGATTACACTGATTACTAAATAACTGAAACTTGAAAAAAACCTACAATGAGATGTCATCTTACCCTGGTTAAAATGGCTTATATTCAAAACAGGCAATAACAAATAGTGGCAAGGACGTGGAGAAAATGGAACACTAGTACACTGTTGGTGGGAATGTAACTTAGTACGAGTACTATGGAGAACAGTTCTGAGGTTTCTCAAAGAACTAAAAAGAGAGCTTCCATATGATCAAGAAATTCCACTCTTGTATATATACCCCAAAGAAAGAAAATCAGTATATCTCTCAAAGAGATATTTATATTCCTATGTTTTATGCAGCACTGTTTACAATAACTCAGATTTGGAAGTTAGCTAAGTGTCCACCAACAGATAAATACATAAAGAAAATGTGGTACATATACATAATGGAGTACTATTCAGCCATAAAAAGAATGACATTCTGTCATGTGTAACAACATGGGTGGAAGTGGAGGTCAATATACTATGTGAAATAAGCCAGGCAAGGAAAGAAAAACATTGTATATTCTCATTGTGAAGTCTAAAAATCAAAACAATTGGACTCATGAAGAGAAAGAGAAGAAAGATGGTTATCAGAGGCTGGGAAGGGTAGTAGGGGGTCTGGAAGGAATGTGCAGACAGTTAATGGGTACAAAAAAACTAAAAAGAATGAGTAAGACCTGCTATTTTATAACTCAACAGGGTGAGTATAGCCAATAATAACTTAATTTTGCATTTTAAAATAACTAATATAATATAATTGGATTGTTTGTAATACAAACAATAAATGCTTGAGGAAATGGATACCCCATTTTCCATGATGTGATTATCACACATTCATGCCTGTATCAAAACATCTTAAGTACCCCATAAATATACTGTGTAGCCACAAAAATTTAAAAAAAGTCTTACATAGGTACATAACACACACACACACACACACAATTGTACCTTAAAAAACACTATAAATAAAATGAAAATATAATGCACAGAATAGGATAAAACATTTGCAAATAATATAACTGGTAAGAGGCTAGTATCCAAAATATAATTTAAAAATCTTACAATTCAACAATTAAAGGACAAATAATCTGATTAAAACATGAACAAAAAATTGAATAAAATGTTCTCCAATTATGATATAAAATGGGTAACAAACACATGAAAAACGTTAAACTTCATTAGTGACTAGGCAAATACAAATCAAAACCACATGAAATCCTACTTCACATCCACTAGTGTGGATAGAATTTTAAAAATGGAAAACAGTGTAAGTGAAAGAAAACAGCCACAAATACCCATTTATTATATAATTCCACTTACATTAAATGTAAAATAGATAAATCCATAGAAATAGGAAGAAGATTAGTGTTTGACAGGGGCTGGATGGAAAGGGAGAATAAAGAGTGATTGCTATTGCATATGGAGTTTATATTGTGGGTGTTTGAGATATCTGAAAATAAACATAGTGATTTTTTGCACAACTCTGAATATACTGTAAATCATTATACACTTTGAATGTTTGAATTTCATATTGTGTAAATTATATCTCAATAAAGCTGGTTTTTTTTTTGAGACAGAGTCTCACTCTGTCACCAGGCTGGAGTGCACTGGCACAATCTCGGCTCCTGGGTTCAAGCAATTCTCCTGCCTCAGTCTCCCGAGTAGCTGGGACTACAGGCGTGCGCCACCACACCCAGCTAATTTTTTTATTTTTAGTAGAGATGGGGTTTCACCATGTTGGCCAGGATGGTCTCAATCTCTTGACCTTGTGATCTGCCTGCCTTGGCCTCCCAAAGTGCTGGGATTACAGGCTTGAGCCACCACGCCCGGCCAAAGCTGTTATTAAGAACATGATGGTTCTGTGTGAACTTTGACAGAAAATATAATGCATTCAGAGTTTTTTCAAAATTTTCATAAATATTTCTATTCCTAACCATTTGTAAGTTTCTAATTTTACTCATTTGTTCCAAATAAAATATGTATATACACACACACACAAGCACACATCTCCTAACATATTATACATTGCCAAGGAAAACAAACTCAGCACTTGCGGAAACTTAAATGAAAATGAGAAGCTTTATCTATACAGAAATTTGGAATAGTTTGTCATGAGCAGACGTGGGAAAACCGAGCTTACTTTCTAACTTCTTGTGTTACAAGGTTCCAACAGTGTTAAAGTGGTTGAGTCTGGCTTGAAGCAACAATCATTGGCTATTTCAGTATTCATTTAGCTCAAAATAGAAATTTCAATCCAATGTCAGTCAGCTGGCTTTATGATGTTTCAGAGATGAAAGCAGAATATGAGAGAGAAAGAAAAAATAATGATCTTAGAAATGAAGACTTTTCAGTGCTCTGGAGGCTACCTGGGTGTGTGTGTGTGTGTGTGTGTGTGCGCACATGCGTGCATGCTCATGTGCACACGATTACAAAGGCAAAGGCCTTTATGCTAAAGATACAAGAGTCAGAGGATAATTTAGAAAGGTTACTTGCAAGAGTTGCAAATAACTAATGTCCAAGTAGCTTAAATATTCATTTCTACTTTTCTGGAGGAACCTATGTTTCCAAAGATCTTGATCATTGAGCATTATAGAACAAAGACAAAGAATATCAAAAAGTGTCATAAATACTAATGGCTTATCATTTTCTTTTTCTTTTTATCAGAGATGAATAGGATGTAGGATATATTATTTTCTTAATAGCTTTACTGAGGTATAATTGATATGTAATAAACTGCATTGTGTCTCAAGAGTATAATTGGGTGGTTTTGACACATGTTCACTCCTGTGAAGCCATCACCATAATCTTGAAAGTATCAAATCTAACATTGCCAGAAATTTTCTAGTGCTCCTTAAGCATTTATTCTTTCCATCTCTTCCCACACACTACAATATATCTCCACCTACCTCCATGACAACCCTCTCTTACAATCATGACAGAAGGTGAAGAGGATGGAGGTACTTCTTACATGGCTGGACCAGGAGGAAGATAGTGAAGAGGAGGTGTTACACACTTTTAAACAATCAGATCTCATGAGAACTTAGTCAGTATCATGAGAACAGCAAGAGGAAATCTGACCCCATTATCCAATCACCTTTCATCGGATCCCTCCTCCAACATTGGGAATTACAATTCAACATAAGAATTGTTGGAACACAAATCTAAAGCATATCATTTTGCCCCTGGCCCCTCCAAAATCTCATGTTCTTCTCATATTGCAAAATATAATCTTCCCTTCTCCGCAGTCTCTTGAGTATTAACTTATTTCAGCATTAACTCTTAAGTTCACAGTCTAAAGTCTCATCTGAGACAAGGCAAGTTCCTTCTATGAGCTTGTAAAATCAAAAACAAGTTAGGTACTTCCAAGATACAATAGGGTTACAGGCATTGGGTAAATGTACACATTTCAAAAGGGAGAAATTGGCCAAAAAACAGACTATAGGCCTCATGCAAGTCCAAAACCCAGGAGGGCAGCCATTAAATCTTAAACCTCCAAAATAAAGCCATTTGAGTCCATGTCTCACATAGAGGCCACACTGATGCAAGGGGTAGGTTCCCATGGTCTTGGGCATCTCTGGACCTGTGGCTCTGCAAGGTATAGCCACATCAGCTGCTTTCATGAGCTGGCATTGTCTCCAGCTTCTCCAGGCACATGGTGCAAGCTGTCAGTGAATCTATCATTCTGGAATCTGGAGAATGGTGGCCCTCTTCTCACAGATCTACTTGGCATTGCCCCAGTGGGGACTCTGTGTCTGTATAGGGGCTCCAACCCTGCATTTCCCCTCTGTACTATCCTCGAAGAGGTTCTCCATGAGGTCTCCACCTTGGCAACAGACTTCTGCCTGCATGTCTTACATTTTCATGCATCCTCTGCAATCTAGGTGAGAGTTCCCAAGCCTGAACTCCTTCCCTCTATACACTTGCAGGCTTAACACCATGTAAAACCCACCAAGGCTTATGGATCGCATACTATGGAGCAGTGGCCTTAGATGTATCTGGGACCCTTTTAGCCACAACTGGAGCTCGTGATAACTCATTCACTATCATGAGAACAAGAAAGGAGGAATTTGCCTCCATGACCCAATCACGTCCCCTTCTTTGACATTAGGGATTACAATCCAACATGAGATTTGGGTAGGAACACAAATCCAAACTATATCATATAGTAGAATCATTTTTAATCTATATGTTTTACTTGTGATGTATCTGAACATGCAAATTAAAAATTGTAACTTTAATAATATTCAAGTTGAAAAATTTACCCTTTAAAATAATACCTTTCTTTTTGTAATGAAATAAGGCATTGAGCAATAATTCTTCAGGCAAGTGCTTCAGCATTTCACTTGGCTGTATATGTGATGGCATTTACAAATACGGATTTGAATCTCTTGTCTTCCATGAGAAATACTTTGTCATATAATATGAATAAACCTGGCAGCTGACAACCTTATCACATTATAATAGACCAAAATTGGAGTTTAAGTGATCTTTAAAAAGAACAGAAAGTATTTTGAAAAACACTGATTTTCCTGCCACAAACGTGTTGAAATTCTATCCCTTATCTTCTCTTTGACTACAGTAATTAGCAAGATATTTTCTCAGTTTAGCCCACATTAATATATTGTGAGAGATATATTGTGCCTTTTATAAAGGTTTGAGTTATTTGAGAAATAAGTAGCTTCACAATGTTTGCTGAAGAAAGGAAGAGAGGAATGATAAGAATTGTGTTGCTTACATCCTGCATATATTAGTATTGGTACATTTTTGAAGCAAATTTTAGATTGACCACTAGTATTTTTTAATACCTACTGTCTTGTGAGAAACAACACATATGTAATCCCACACTATGCTATACTCTTCATGAAAATCTCACAGAATAGATATAATAGTATCTTCTTTGTACAGATTGCTAAAGCTAGGGAAGTTAATATTATGCCCTCAATCACATGACTAAAAAGGCAGAATGAAAGTAGAACTTGGATTTGATGAATCCCACTGAAGACAGGAAATAATGTTTATTTGACATTTATTGGAGGTTA